TAATTTGTTTAGTTATTTAGTTGGGCAGTTAAATTCAAAAAACGCGAGCCGTGGAGATTGAGAATGAATGATTAAGAACGGCCAAGGTACCTGTACCCCGGATTTTGCCCGGGATACCGTAGAAGTCACCATCAATTAAATGATGTATTACATAAGTTTTATATAATAATTAAGACATCACATAAAGGTTACGGAAGTATCTTACCCATGCTATATTGGAAATGATTTGGTTTCATCCAAATTATTAAATAAGTGAATAAGTTCAAAATATAATGAATTTCTTATTGCCATAGTTAGTAAAATACGGTACAGGTAACTTATCTATATATTATGTATGAATATTTTACTTAGTCTGCAAACTAAAGTTATTTTAAATTAAATAAACATATAATGTTATTAAAATTACCATTTTATTTCATCATATACATGTATTAAAGGTGTTATACGAGATTTATATGTGTTTAGTACTGGAGCCATCAAATCAAGGGGGAAAATGAAACCGTTTGGTAATAGTACGATAACGGAAGTTTTAAGCACATAAAATACATATGTGTATTAAACCGAGTATTTATTAACTATGCTTACCGCCGCGAAGCACGGTAAAAAAAACTAGCTAGTGGTTAATAATACGAAAAGATTAGAATCCAAATCATGTTTCTTTTGTTCTTTTTAATTCTTCGTTCAGTTTTGTAGTTTCGTTATTAAGGATAACCTCGTCAAAAATTTCGAGAAAGTTATCTCAAATTCGAAGAAGAAGAAAAATCCACTTTAACATTATAAAATGTCCTTTTTCCCAGCTAGCTAGCAGTACAATATGTATTAGTAATGTCCAATCCTGACAAGAACTTCACAACCAAACACCAAAATGGATTTAACCCAGAAGTTCCAAAAGAGCCAAAGTAAGTACCATATATACCAGCCTAGCCTGACTTTAACATAACTGATGTACACCAGTACTACAACCTCATAGTTTTATGGTGTGCTGTCATATGCACAGTCCACCACCAAACCAAAACAAACGAGCCCAAAGGCAGCAATCATGTTTTTAATCGAAACAACTAATGAAGAAGAAGATAGAAACTGGTGCCAAGAGAAGTGGCCTTCTCCTTTCATCATTGTTCATTCGTTCATTTCATATCATCATATCAAATCACAAACAAAAAACGAAAAGGAACATTAGAAAGTGGGCTTGTCTCCGATAGAATCCTTTTTAGCTTTCCGGACAGCGAATCCTAAACCTCATAATTTCCCAACCTTCTATCTGCAGGCCTCATTTTGTCGCCCTACCGGACCCCAGCACTGTAGTACCCCATCGATCGATATATTTTGCTTACTCTAATTCCCCATTTGGCATGCCCACCAATTTTTATTATTTTTTCTAAGGATTAATCTAACACAAATTGATGCAATGAGATGAGGAACAATGGTGACAGAAGTTTGAGCCTCTCTTCATGGGTGTGTAGCTAGAGAGTAAGAAGCTGGTTCTATCTATCACACCCCCGTGATTTGGAGAAAAATATATTTTTTTTCAAGTGAAATACAATAAATCTTAGTAGTATTAATATACCAATAATGAAATTTGAACTCCAAATTCTAATGTTAATTGTCAAATTTTACAATTCAACAATAAGTTAGTTTTATCTTCTAATTTCTGTAGTAATACATTCTAGTTTATCAAAATGTATAAGAGGGGTATAGATTATTAGAGGAAATCATTAACTTTTTATGATAATTGTAGTCGGAAGAGGAAATTGATTCCTATCTATGTATTTGCCTATGAGTTTAGTTTGCTATACTACATGTTGATATAAAATTTTCTTCAATGAAATATGAGATAACACCATGGGTAATTGTTCAAAAATTATTTTATGCTCCACTTAGATAAAATTTTGACTACACCACTGTCTCTCTCTTTATGTATATGATTAGAGTTATTAGAATCAACTTGTTCTCCAATGTTATTGGAACAAAATCTTTCTTTGAGTATGATTAAGTTATTATATTTGCCATGTCATAAGCCCAAAGCTTTCATGGATTCATACAAAGCAATCTGGAAACGACTTTACTTTTGCTTAGAGTGCATATGTTAAGCAATCCTGCATATATACAGCTATAGACAGACTGGGATGGATACAGAAGCTCCTAGGTAGGAAAGAGTATTCGTTGGGATGAAGGATAATCTGTAAAGCTCAAGCAATCCATCACCGTCCATCATCAAAATGTCAAATCTCCCAAATATCATGGACCAAGAACGATCATGAAATCAACCCAAGATAGATAGAATGGTGGCCTATGAAGCTTGCTATTAGTACTCTTCCATTCAATGCATGTTTTAGTTTAGTCAATAGAAGTGTGATACTGATATATCAAAGCTTGGTCTTCATGGATTATCTACATTCTACAAGAAGATGGTAAGTAAGATAGACTTCCTAAAAGTAAAACTAGAGTGAGGTTGAACTATTGGGAACCAAGAAGAAGGTTTATGAGATTGTATTAATTGGAGCTGGTTTAGATAAGTGGTTGTGTATGTTCAAATTTAGACTACTCTCAATATTAACATCTCAATATTAACAGTTGATTAAAACGTACATAAGGTATGATTTTCTTGTGCAACTTCAAGCTGGTAAGTCTCCTTTTGTTTGAGGCATATACGTGAGTGGTATAAAATCCATAATTAACATTCTCCAAGTTATTAGGACCAACTGATTTACGACGTGCCGTATACGATGATAATGATGGAGATTGGATTGTATCCCCAGGAAGTGTGTGGACAAATCTCTTAGACGTAACTATGGCACTCCTTAGAAACAGAAACCAAACTGGCCACTATCTATTTCTCCCCAATATGTCTGTCATTCAATCTTTTCATGCTAGCCTTTGTCCCTCAAAGTCATTATATATTTTTTCTCAACCCCATTAGCCCCAAAACCTCTTTAGTGCAATACATGACATGACGTTTTCCCAATGACAATATTGAGATTTGAATCAAACAATCTCTCGACCATCATCAGTCCATGCCCCCAATGAGCTAAATATCATGAGTGATTATATCTTATAGTATCTTTAATATTCTTTACAATGACGACATTGAGATTTGAACCAGTACTCTCTGAACTCATCATCGATCAGTCAACTATGAGTGATTATATAATTAAAAGCATTTATTTTTGTAATCTGACCCACGGATAACAAGATCAGACGAGATTCATCTCGAAAAGAACGAAAACCCATGTCATAGATTTTTGGTTTTGATTGAATAATAACAACAACAACAACAACAATCTGTGTATTGAACTGACAAGCTAACAACTAGTTTAAGTCGTCCTAGTAACTAGTGAAGTCCTTAGTAAATCGTGCAATGCTGCCTGCTGCCTCATCAGTTTGAATGAGGAATCCAATAATATGAAAACAGAACAAAAACAAAAGAACAGCTACCCATATATATGGTCTCCCTCCTCGATCTAGAATCTATTCATTGATGAGCTCTACATACTTTGAGAATCATACACACAGAACCACTACACCAGCTGCAGAGTATATCTCTTTTGCTCAAAAAGGATCATTTTGCAGCAGACAGGCAACCACCCATCTGCATATAACTATATTATCTTCCCATTCAACATGTCTCAAAGCCATTGGAGAATAAAATATATACATTGAGAGAGAGAGAGAGATTGAGGGAGTGAATAGAATAAACATTGCTTCCACTTCAAGCAGTGGTAATGTACTGTCTCTCATGCTCTCTTGTTTTTATTCAAGTTCTGATATATTATTCTATGTTCCATTGGCAGCAAGTTGCTATTCTTCTGATCTTTAGTTCTTCATGAACATTATAACTTCTGTTGTTCATAGTTAATCAAGTCGGTTTTGTGGGTAGCTTTGAATTAGTGGAAATAAGTCAGCCGTCCAACAATGACTTAATATATAAAAACGAGTCTACTTTACAATATTTAAAGGGACATGGTGAGAGCATGATTGGACATTTGTGGGACTTGATGGGAAATTATTAGACTCGTTCAAAGCGATTCAACATGATTGTGTTAGATGAGAGATAGCTAGCTAGCCTATCAGCTTTGTAGTACACAAACCTACCCCATCTCTTCTAACAAATTGCCAAGAATTGTAAAATAGTTAAGTGGCATAATGTTTTGTGCTAAATTCATGGTTTAACTCAGATTTAGATTCTGGTAGAAGGTATTTTCAGGTCGGATTGTCGATACGGTATAATTTCGCGAACACGGAATTACATGTCTTGGCAACCTGAGAAAATGTAGACAACTCCCCCACACATGTGGGAGAAATTGACCATTCAGAATATCATCAAGGACCCTATTAATTAAGCTATTAGAGAAACTTGAATCTTGACTAATATGCTAAGAGGACACATACAGAGAATATTCCTTAAAATTAGCAAAGATTCAATAATAAGACTTTGTTTTCAAGTCTATCAAAAGAAGAAGAAAAAAGTTTGTTTTCTAGAGATCCCCAACTTAACTAGACACTACCAAAAATCTGAAGCATAAGCATGCCTAATACGACAGACAATTAGCTCGTTAACATAATTAACTCGTTCTGTCACACATTTCTAATCATTTAAATTGAAGATAACCACATTAAAAATGACCCCAACACATGTTAATCACTCCCCTACATCAACACGATAGTACTATTCGAGGCAGCAACACAACACAACAACAACAACAACCAAGAACAGCATGTACCATCCCATAAAACCAAAAGAGAAAGTCAATCTTGAGTTCCCCATTTCTCAAAAGGTTGAGACATAACAAGTAAAATATATAGTATCACTCCATACATGTAAATATAACCCAATTCCCACCACTCCCTTTTTTCCTTTCTTTTTTTTTCTCAGAACAACAAGCTATAGCATATCCAAAACAAATCACCACCACCACCACGGCCAAGCAGACTCTCTCCGCCGTGAAATTATATATACACAAACACAGTATATATGTATATATATAAAGAGATGGGTTTTTCTACCGGCGGCTGGAGGAGTGGTTATTAGGCGGAGAGTACTCACACACGACCTCAGCCGTCTCCACCTCCCGCCTGTGGAAGTTCCTGTGGCAGCCGCACGCCGCGCACACGAGCGCCGCCCCTCCGCCTCCGCCGTCGTCGTCGGGCCCGCTGGCCATGAACTCCCGGCAGCCGTCGACGGCGTATCCGCCGATGTTGGCGGCGTGGTTCTTCTGGCACTCCCCGTAGCGGACGCTCCTCATGACCGAAGACGACGTCGTCGTGGAGATCCTCCCCACCTCCGATCTCTTCACCACCACTTGCCGTTTCTTCATCATCGTCGGTAGATCGATAGGTGAAAAAAAAAACAAAAAATCCTGAAAGCAAAGAAGGAAAAAAGAGAGGTGGAAGTTGTCTTTCTCGTAATAAAGGAAGGATGAATGAATATATATAAGGGAAGGGTTGAAGTCCCAATCAGGGAGCTGAGTCAAAGTTTGATCCACAGGCTGGTGGGAGTGAGTGAAGGAGTAGTCAGGGAAAGGGAAAGGGAAAAGGAAAGTCTCTTTTTTTTTTTAAATATATTTGATGAGGAAAATGGGGCGAAGGAAAGAAAGAAGGGAGAAAAAACAGTATTTTTGGGAGGAGAAAAAATGGCTTCTCCAGTCTTGGTGGGTAAGTAGATTGCAAATGCAATGGGCAACCCTAACCCTAGGAGGAGGTGCATATTTATAAAGCTGGGGGGAGGGAGAGGAAGGCTAGTGGTGTGTGGCCAGCTTAGCTAACAGCAGCAGCCATTGCAATTTGATGTCACTTGGGTCAACCAATTATGGTGCCACTATGTCAATGTGTGTCAGAACTAGATTTGTTTTTCATTTTTTTCTTCTTCTTCTTCTTCTTCCTTTTGCATAGATGTCAGAATGATTCTGTTACAATATACATATTATCTTTCTTGGTAAAGGTGATTATTGAGGAAGATTTGAACTTTATTAGTTTGTGATAAAAATTCATATATCTATATTACTTGTGAGATAACATGAATCCTCCTTGATCTATCATGCACCTTTACACAGTAGCGGAGTCAGGAAATTTATATAGGGGTGTCCTCTTTAAAAAATTAAATAATTTTAAATTAGAAAATATCTAACTAATAAATGTTACAAAACAAGTCTGCGGCGTGTTACAAAATATACTCAGTGTCTGGACGGCTGAACAAATATCTCCATCTTACTACACAATCATTCACAAACTGATCATTTAATCAATTTCGAAACTTGTTCTTAAAGTTTCCCAAAACTAAATATGTTATTTCAACACCTGCAGTTGCAATCGGTAAAATCAATTACTTTGAGAAGCAAGTAAACCAATGGATATGATAGAATGGCTCAAGTGGTTATGCACCCATCAATAACTAAATCTGAACCCTTCATTTAGAAAATCCAGATCTAAGGATGGAGAATTGAAGACCATTTTTATTTTTCCTAGCTTTCTTAATCGGCTCATATCTTCTTTGTTTTAACTCGGTTTTTTTTTTTTTTTTTTGCACAGATGGAACGAGTTCGTTGTGCTCTACAAAATGAGATTCATTTTCAATATTTTTTAGAAAAAAATATTTCTTGTCTCTCGGTACCAACTGCATACCATATGGTATCTTCTTCGTTTTTAATTCGTTTTTTAAAACATTTGCACAGAGGGAACGAGTTCATCATGATCTATTGGATCTTGATATGATCTCAATTTGGGGCTTCAAACGATTGGAATTGATCGATCATGGCGGCAAGCTAGGCACGTTTAAGAACTTTGGTTTTTGTCTAAGTGTTTATGACTGTTTCAGGTACCCACTTTGGACGAGCATAAGTCTCCATTGGTGTGATAGAAATTTGAGTTCTTGGGTTGGTGATGGACAAGAAGAGCTGCTGAATCAATCTGTGTGCTTTGGAGCTCATGGAGAAGTCGAGAGGTTGGGTTTCCAAGGTGACCAAAATGCTAGCTCGACACTGGAGGAACTGCCAGATTTTTCTAAGTCTGGAAACCAGTTTGGGTACCCGACTTTGAAGGTCAATATGTGTCAAATCAGTGGGACTCGACCCAAAAGGACTTTGCTACATCAATCTACGAGTTTCATACTACGACGACGGGGCATTGGATGACCAGATCGAAGCTTGGAAGGCCTCGAACGAACCCGCCAAAGATCGTGTCGAAGCTGTCTTTTTCCTGTCTTTGGTTTCAGCAAGCTCAATCCTTATCGGAAAGGGATTACTAGGCTGTTTTGAGTTTCAATTCCTTTTCCGCGTTTGTTTGGGTTAATTCAAGTTGTAAGTCGTCAAGGATATCCTTATGAGTTTCTAGGAGTTAGTTCGAGTCTATTTAAGTCGAATCTTTCGTTGTAAATTTCAGTTTTTGATCAATTGAATACAAAGTGGAGCTTTGGTTCATCTCGCTAGTTGCGTGAGGAATTGAGTTGGATTGCTTGGTCGAGTCTAAGCAATCGTGAGCTTGTATCGATCGGTTCATCACCCTGATCGTGGCCAAGCATCGACTTATAGGCTTCGAGCCTCTTTCCCTTGTGAAAGTTGCACGAAACTTTCCATCCACAAACCCCCCTGTTTTTGTGTAAGTTCTTGATTGAGATATCAATTCGAGGTTATTGATCTCTGAACTGCGCTGCTTTGATCCTAAACCCTGCCTTGGGGTTTATCAGATCTACAAATTTCTGGGTGAACAAATTACAGGACCAAAAAATACCACACAATACCATGCAATACCACCCTGGTACGGGGTGGTATCTTGTGGTACACAATGTTAAAAGTCGTAAATGACAGTTAATATACTTCTACTATCATGTATTCAATCATCCTACAATCTTGGTTTGTTCATACCACCATGGTACGCTTTTCAAACCATATGTATGCTCTTATTTCAATACCAGTCAGTACCATATGGTATAAAAAATGGCTCAATTTTTTTTTGTTCGAAAAATATATCAAAGTGGATATCATATTTAAGAACACAATTAATCTGATCTACCTGTGTAAAAAAAATTAATTTTTTACTTAAAACGAGTGAGAAATCGTCCGTCAAATATTAAGGAGGGAAAATTAAAGGCTTTCCAGGAGAGAGAGGGATGCTGATGTCATGCTGATGTAGACAGGTTACTCACCATAAGGTTACTGACCTGATTCGTTCCCTGATAGAATAGAGTGAATAAGGATAACCCGTAATCAGGTTCAATTGTTAGATTTTCAAAATAATTGGGAGAAGGAATATCATTTTTGCTATTAAACTAGTGTTTAAAATACAATAACAAATGAGTTGTGGTATAATGAAAAACATGTTTACTAATAATCTTAGTATCCTAATTTAAATCACCTAGTCTACCACCTATATTTTTTATCCACACGAAAACTACTACCGGGAGTTGGATAATCGTTATCCAAAAATTAGGGGTGTCCCGGGACACCCCAATACCCCTGGTTCCGCTCCTGCTTACAAGGTGTGGGTCTATTTGGTGACTAGGTGTTTGATCACATTGTAGTACAAAATATGCATCGCCTTACATGCTAACTGCGACGTTAATTAAAAAGAGTGACATATTTGGACATAGGATTTATTGGATGTTCTCGATCTCAAACCATCCCTTGAATTAGAGGTTGCTCAACACGAGTGTACATTGAGTATGATGACGTGATTTTGATGATTATAATTTCCATATTAAGGTGTGATCTCAAACCATTTCAAATTGTGGATCTCAACCTTATCTTTTTTATTTATTTATATGCATGATCACTCTAACCGCTAATTTCTTAAGGAAAATTAGCAGTCCTAGTTTCTCGATATTGAAAATCTCCATCGTCAAACAATAAATTGCGGTTTAGCCAACATGTTTCTATACTTATTCGAGTAATAAGTATATAAATTTACGAGTATTGTTTCAGACTCAATTCTCACAACCTACTATTTTGAGAAAAAATTCCTTTAACGGCCACCAATTGTTGGTTGCTATGGGGTTTGCCTAATATTCAAGTGATACGGATAGTCTCGAAAATATAAACGGATGACCTAAAGAGATATATTTCCTTAATTTCGTAATCTAGTGAAGAGAGAGGGGTGTCAAGAATAAATTGGGATAACCGACAATGAAAGAAAGTAAAGAACACATAGATTTAATAATTCAATTACACAATGTGTGTTAGTTAGTCCACGGATAATAGAGAATCAGTTTCAGTATACTTGATGAGAGACTCTGTAACTTTCAATCGACAACAAATAATCTAATTCGAGTCATATCAATAGGCGAAAAAGTAATATTTGAGGTACATATATTACCCAAACTCTTATTCATTGACTTTTTTGTTTTTGGTATGGAATTCTTCCACTATCAAGATTGGATTACCAACAATTACGAAAAAAGGCACAATCAAAATTTGACACACAATGGTCACCGTGTCTAATCAAGAACTTGGAACTATCTATACGCACGGCCCCAACCTAGATTTTCCGCAATAGATGAGAAGATTGCATTTGCACTCACTATATATGATGGCTACACGCACGAGCTCTGGGCTTTTGATGGAATTAAGACATGATATTTCAACCGCCGTTGTTAAATCATGCTTTGTGGAAAACAAATCGGTGGTTTAATAATTAAGTAGACAATATGTGTATGAAGCCAATTAAAGGTGTCAGCTCAGAGCCAATGCGACAATGATAACATTTATTGGCCGAATCTCTTGAATTTGAACATGTATGAAATTGAATCAACTTTTATTTTTATGAGAAAAAATTAGAGGACCTAGCCATTGATTTGTTTGATTAAACCGACATAAACGAAGGGAAGTCACCTTGCATTTGTAAGGGAATGGTACAAAACACTTTTGTAGGATTTTTTTTTTTTTTTCATTTGAGTTATTAGACCTATTGAAATTGACAGTTAATTTGAACACAATGGATGACATGTTATTGGGATCGACATGTTATTGGGATCAACATGTGATCTTTTGTGTTGCGCCATCTAAATTGCATCACGTCGTTAATGGTTAAATGGTCGACGATCAAGGACGGTGTCAAGTAGATAATCGTATCAAATTTGTTTGTTATTTTGAATAATTTCAGATCATGATTGTTTTAATAGTCAAAGTTCGGCACTCAATGAGAGAGTTTTTAATGATTTATCAACTAAACCCTAACATCTTTTTTATTTATTGTTCTTCTTTCAAATGGGCTTCTCTGAAAGTTCGGAAACACTATAGACAAATCTCACATTGACAAAGTACGAGAGAGATTCAAGATTCATGATGAACAATCCAACTAACCTTAACTTACATCTTTCAAGGACTTTCCT